TCAGTAAAAATTTCATTATGCTTTTTCCTCTTAAAGTATATATGTCTGTCACTGCAAAACAAGAGCGATTAATCTGTCCCCGCACACTTGTGTAGGATGTGTGCTTTATCATCCAGGGTGCCTACAGAGAAAGAAAACTCTTTAAAGAATCTGGCCCTTTAACCTGCAGGGAGGAAACAGGGATTTTCCTGGATCATTTCAGGAAAGGCTGAACTCCCGGACTCCCTTATTTAGGCTGGTTTTTTCCTATAGACCCGAAGGGGATGAGGCAGCGAAGCAGTGGTTTGTCTCTGCAGACATAAGAGTTGGTAACAAGAAGATGAAACAATTTCATACTTTTCCACAGAGGACAGAAAACTAGCTTATTTTCCTATCACGGCTTAAAAGAGTACTGTCACAGGCAAAAATTACCCCATTTATATGTTTTACAGTTATGAAAACATATTCTCCCCCAGCAGTGCAAGTAAAGATTTTTTTTTTTGGTGCAGCCTTTGAGTCCAGAGGCAGCAGGTGGAGGACGATGGTCAGGTACAGCTCTGATGCTCAAAGCCTCACTCCCCCTTCTACGTTTATTCTTGACCACAGACTGTTCTTCCTGTGAATTCTCACGCTATACTTGGGCAACTTTCTCCCTTGCTCCAACTTCTTTGCAGGTCTGGATGGAACATACCGAGAAGGATCTTCTACACCACCATCTGCAAATTCTCTTAAAGGTCTGCAGAGCCTTCACACTCTTCAGTTGTATCTGACGAACACCGAACTGTATTCAGTTTCATTAATAACCTTTTGAAGACTTTTCTGAAGAAGGTTCTCCAGCTACAACGAAGAACAATTCAGTTTCATTAATAACCTTTTGAAGGCTTTTCTCCAGCTACAACGAAGAACGCATTACACCCCCCATGCCTGGAGCTGCATTTAGCAGAGGCCTCTGTCGCCGCACACCAGTAGCAGTAATGTAGGTGAGCTATAGAGTCTGGATGTCATTCCCATGTGCCCTCCCCAGAACACACCAAGTAAAACTGTACATCTCCCAGAAAATCCTTTCGCCACCATTCCATGTAAGATTTTTTTCTTGATCTTCCTGGTCATCCTTATGGACTATATATAAACTGTCACTTTGGAGGTAAAAATCACTCAAGATGTTAACAGTAGATTTTTCCAATTTAAAACAGAAGTTTATATAAGTTTTGCAGCCAATACAATGTGTCATTTGATGTATTTTATAGGTCGCTTTCACAGGAGAAGAGGGAAGGCTTCTGTGTTTCAAAACAATACTAACATCAAAAGCCAAATTTACACAAATAACAAAATCACACACTCCAAACAGAAATAAGTTACTATAGTAACCTTTTCCGCAGTAATTAACAAGGGAACTCTAGAAATTCAACTACATTAAATGCTGTTGCAGAGCAATGTCAAAATACCCAAGTAATATACATTACAAGCCAGGCAACAGACAGCAATATCATTACTGCTCTGCATTTAAAAATAGAAGTCCATAAATAATTCAGCCATTGAAGTTTTCTCTAACACAGTAGATGACACTCAGAACTGAAAAGCTCCCACACAGATGATTACTGCCGCAATACAAGAGTTAGCACAATATATTTACTTTTCTCCCTGAGGAACAGCATTTGTGTGCAATTAGAGGAGACTTATTTCTGATCTATCAGGGGTCATAAATAAAAACAGCAATTGCAGTTTAGATCTTAAGACTCAGATTTTAGTTTAATGTTCTACAGAGTTGTAGAGGACATAAGACTAATAGGTAAAACTTGCCATTTCGGACTGTAAGAAGAAAAGTATGGGAAAAGCTACTGATTATGTTTGGCAATAAGGGAAACTTATGGCAGATTAACTTCAACACGTTTATCCAGAGGAAATGACCTACTTGAATTAGCCTTTAACCTGAAAGTCTGATCACCGCAGCACTGGAGACAGAAATCTGTCATGTAGTCAAATTTGTAGCAACACAGATACCAACATTCTAATTCTAAAATTTAGATTCAGCTAAAAAAAGCCAAAACTACAATCTCCATAATCTAAGTTAAAAAACCAGGTAAGCATGGTGTAAGTGAAAGTAGTTACCACTGACCAAAACGCTTACTTGTATTACTGACCCGGGCAGGAAACCTGGTTTTAGGCCAGGACATCGCTTGATGCTTAGCGCAGAGTACACAACAAAAAGGTGATCAATCCCAGAAAAATCCCATGTTCCAAGTTTAAGACATGAGTGATGAGTACAGATGGAGACGTGAGGAAATCGTGAAACTGTAACTGGGTAGTGAATCTCAATACATCAACATCCCATCAGTTATCAGGTCTCAGAAAGCATCATGAGATGAAAGTTGTAAGGAAGACAAAATTAGCTCCTCCCAAACAAGAATGGCAGGATGAAAGAAACAGCAAAAGGGATATTTAGAAATTGAAGCAGGGTGGTAAGATTGTCACGATGAGTCAGTTGTAGCTATGCATTAACATTTCACCAGCACGACATTCAACTGGATGTTAGACATCAGACTGCCTCTTTTATGTTATAATCAGTAAAGCATAAAAGCACTCTTAAATAAACCATATAGTGCACTTGCAGCCTTTAACGTGAGAAAATGAGTGAAAAAATACATTGGTACAGCTCTAGAAAAAAATCTTACTGCTTCTGCACACAGCTGATAGTAGCCGTGGCTCTGTAGTTCTTTTTTCAGCACATAATAGATAAATACCATAAAAACAAGCACCAGGATAAGAATACACTTCATGTACTGAAACAAACAAACAAAAAGGTTGTCCTGGTACTTCCCTGAATGCTGTCAAGCTATCCTGTATGCACAGTGAGTAATATAAAGTGTTCTTAGCTGTGCCACAAACAACTCAGATGACTAACACTAGGGAAAAACAGTATGTTTATGGTATGTGTTCACTTTACCATTTTTTATTTTTCCATTTAACTCAAGCTTCACACAGAAAAAAAAACTTTAGTCAGCATTAGACGCTTGTTCCCTTGCGTTTCAACTTGAAAAGATTTGGAAAGGCTTTTAAGTCAAAATCTTTTAAACATCACCTGCATTTCAAAGAAAATTCTAATAATTAAAAAAACTTTCCAAATATATTCAAGAGAAAATGAAAAAATATTTCCCAACTCTCTTATTAAAAATGTAGCTTAAAAGTTCTGTCATTTTAGATCCTCCTGAACAGCACTGTCCTAATCAACGCCCCGTAGCAGCGGGGTTGGAACTAGATGATCTTTAAGGTCCCTTCCAACCAAAACCATTCTATGATACCACAAAACAGCACAGACAGCCACCTAAATCTTTCTATTATTTTTAAAACTAATATTTAATATCAAAGCTTTCAGACAAAAAATAAGTTAAAAAATATTCAAGTCAGCATAAATGTTGACCAAGAAGTACCAGTTGCAATTAAGAGTCTCTTATTCATGTACGCAATACAAATCCATCAGTCTCCTCTTTCTCTCTCTCTCAAAAAACTCTGCAAAACTGAAAGGAACCCCGGCAGTACGTGACGTTTATGCTCTACCACAAACTCAAACAAGTTGTGTCACAGCCCCACTAGGAAGCTAATGGAATGAAAAACAACACTTCGGCTTAAGAGAGAACACAAAACAAGGGATGTCTGACAAAATTAAGCCAGCCTTCATTACATGAATAATTTTGTAAACATCTGGTATTTTAAAACACTGCCTCCTCGTGTAGTAAACGTCTTCGCTGAAGAAGTAAAGAGCGAAGGTGCGAACGGCAGGCTTCAGAGTGGAAATATAATCATGTAGTTCTCTCCTCCTCCGAACCTCTCTCCGCAGCCTGCCTGTTTCTACGCTTCCTGCAGACCTCCTGGCACTACGAAAATATCATGTGTGTATTTTTTCGCTGTTCAAGCGGGTATTAAGAACTGTAATGCTGATAAGGCAGTACTCCTGACTTGATTGTTTTATTGCTCAAACGTCAACAAACATAACAATGTTGGTTTTCTATGGTGACGACAGAAGTAGGCACAACTGCCAAGTAACAGAAGCTTTTAAAAAAACCTACAATTTCAATAAAATTTTATGCCTGCAAAACCACTAAAATTCAAGTCATGCACTGCACCACGAACTAAAAGTTTCCCTCACACCAGAAAACCTGAACAATCAGAGAATGGTTTTAGATAACCAACACTGCTTTCAAGCCACATCCTTCGAAGAGGCCCTGATCCTACTCACACCTCCTCGTGTTGCTACGCCCTGTTACCTACCTGAATAATCCTACTGATTTTAAAATTATGTGATTTGTAAATTCAGTCTTTTTTTGTAGACTACAAATGCTTCATGTATCTGAAGCACCTCATCTTCCATGGCTGTACCTAAACTGGTTTCCCGACACTTTACCCAGTCCATTGGCTGTGTTAATCAACGACTCGCCCTCCTGTCGAGGCAGAAAGGTTTTATCACCTGGAGAAATGAAGTACTGGAATAGCATCCCACCAGGCTGTCTCTGCTGGCCCACGCCTCCTTTTTCAACGGAGCTCGAAATGTTTCCTAACAGGACTCCATGAAGTGACCACCGAGAAGAGTGAGGCACTGAATTCTGACACTGGCAGTCTATGCAGTTCTTCACACTACAATTACAGGCACCTGGCATGTATGCTTGGTAAATTTTATAGCAGCAGAACCCTTTGATTTACAGAATCTACAAATAGAAACCAAGGAATAAATAGTTCCACCAATGCTTTAATATGTTTTTTAAAGCGTTCTCTAAAATTCATATATTTTAAAAATGATACCTACAAGTTGTAACCATTCTTACAGTTTGGAAGCAAGCCAGATTTTTAGTCGTGAAATAAAGCTTGTTTCCATCACGTTATGTCACCTGAAGAAAGCAAAATAGCTTTTATATTTAAGGAATTGAGTTTCACTGTTTTTAATGGGGTTGTCACATATACACACAATTCATCATCTAAAAAGAATCTATTCCATTTAAACAAATACAAACAGAAGTAATTATTTTTACCAGATCCCAGTCTATGCTGCGGAAAAAAGTATGAGACTTGATATCAGAAAATCCTGTCTGGGGCTGACAACCAAGCCTTTCTTTGGGATCCTGCGGAAAACACAGAAACTCGTATTACATACTCTAAGCCAGTTACAGTCCGTGTTTGTCAAAAGCCCACATACGCGGCTCCAGCCCTCCTATTACTATGCAAACTGCTGCTGAGGTACACATGATGGCTACCACAGGATTGACAGTCTTTTTTCTGTTGTTTTTTTTTTTTTTTTTTTTTAATGAAGTTTGTTTGAAATTTCATTTTAAAATGCTATTTTACAACTTCTTAGAATAAAAAAAAAAGTATCTGGATTTATTTAGTAATGTATAATTCACATCCATCTTTTCTCCATTAAAAATGATAATGGTTCTATGGATTTCAATTAGCTTAATTAAGTAGTAACTATTACAAAAAAGTTTATAAACAAGCCTACAGTTATTTTTTAAATCAAGTCTGTACTGTGGAATTCCCTCAGTAAATTAGCAACTAAGAAGTGGGTTTTTTTAACATACAGGATACCAAGGTTTTATAGATTTTCTTAACAGTAAGCAGATTAACTTCTTAACTGTATTGCTTTCAACAGGAAGCTCTGACTTCCAGATCTTAGATGCTAAAAATAAGAGAATGTTATTTACCTTGTTTAAAAATCCTTTTAACACATGGGAAGCCTTGACAGAAAGAAACCTTGGAATCCGGATTGGCTTCTCAAGAATAACTGTTACAGGTTTAAAAACAGCAATATTGTTTTTTTGGTTTATGACATTGACCATGATTTCAATACAAACACTATTATTTAAATATGTTACCATTTGGAAAATGGGAAGATACAGCAATTATTTAAAAATAATGCAAACAAAGGAGCTACAGTAATCCCAGGCACTGTTATACTGACATTTCCAGATTTCCTAGAAGAAATGTCTTCATTATCTCTTTCTATTGGTTGTAGTACAAACGGAAAAGAAAGCTTTTTCAGTGACCTCAGTATATGGAAAAATGTGATTTTTTCTTTTTTTTTTTAAATCAGTAAGTGATTTAATAGAAGGCTCATCAAAACAACCACGGCAGGTTCTGTTACATATGGCAGTAATAGTTTCAAGAACGGTTCTGCGTATTAGGGAGTAGGCAACTTTGCAATTCCCCAAACTCTTACAGAGTTTCTGTTGTAATAAATACGGCAAGTAGTACTACTTGCATGTAGAGAAATTCATACATCACTATTCCTGAAAGGTAAAAATCCTAAAGAAGTTTTTAAAAGTAAAAAAGAAAAAAGTTTAAAAGTTATCTGGAGCAAAACTACAAACTGAACTACAGTTCTGTCAAGAACGATCCTCCTACTCTCTCTTGTAGCACTGAATTTTAAAGTTAACTCTTGCCCTGTGAACTGCTTTCTAACAAAGGTACCATTCCATACAACTACTGGCTATTATTTCTGAACTGGGGACATTTTTAATAAATATTTTATTGTCTGAAGATGACTTCCTATTTCCAGACTGTTTTATCTGAGGCCAAAATCAATTCCTGGGATGAAGAACTGGAATACTGGGACCCCTTATCTACAGCACATCTACAGGCTACTGGGGTAGTAGTACTATGGGATAACAACGGAAGAGGAAAACTTAACTGTCCTACCGGAACTGCTGATTTTCATTATTTCTCCCCCAATGAAGAAAAAAAACCCAAACGAAGCAACTATACCTTGGAAGAGGTAATCTTCAGTGTTCATGTCTGGATTGTCAGTAATAATATCAAAGGGAGACCTTCCCGCCATCATTTCAAACATCAACACACCGAGAGCCCACCAGTCCACGCTGAACCCTGTGAAGATTTGCAGAGCAGATTTTCAGCCAGGACTCCTTGAATTTGGGTGCTGTATCACACACAAATGAAGATGAATGGCTCAGTTCTACAGAGTACTGAAACTCTCTCCTTTCCCTGAAGCCGCGACATCACGACCTCCACTAGCACTGGATGAGACTTGAGAGTTTTCCGAATTGAGATTACAAAGGTCATCCGGACAGGAGTTTGTGGGAGTCTGCCAGACAGCAAGGCTTCAATGAAAATTCAGTGTACTTAAGCTGAAAATTTTCAGATATATGTATTTTTAAGAGTTCAACATTATAGTACCTTATAACTAAGTGACAGATTCAACCCATTGATCTGATCAGTTCACAAACAACACCACTGGTTAAAAATACTTTTGACTTCTGCATGAGCAAGATACAGCATTGCTACAGCATTCTATAACCTTGTCTGGAAGACAACAGTAGCTGGGATGTCAAGTTCTTCAAGAAGTGGACTTGGTTTTGCTACAGTATCATTTAATAGTTATTTTTCAGGGAAAGTATGACTTAAAAGAAGCTGAAATGAGTGATTGCAAGAGAAAAACAAAGATACCCTTATAATGTATGTCAGAAAATATTAAACTGTACAATACGCATTCAATTTTCTCAACATATCACAGCACAAAAGCGTGGCAATCTAAAAATAATTGGATTTCAACCAATCTACAACTAGAACTTTGCTTTGCAATTTATTGTAACTACAAATTGTTTAGTCACAGCTTACCATACTCTTCTCCTCTGAGGATCTCCGGTGCGATATAATTTGGTGTCCCACAGAAAGTGCTTGTAGTGTCACCAGGGCCCAAACCTTCCTACATGCATAAAACATTTCACAAATTAAAAGCTGACCTCCTTTTCTGGGAATTTCCCTTAATTAGATTTATAAAGCTAAGTTACTTAGGGAGTCTAAAAACCTACGTTTCAAAACAGGCAACGTTAGAGCAAAATAAACACTCGTAGCGCTCAAAGCTGGCTTATGACTTCACAGCTTACCTTCAGCAAATTGACTGAGTCACGACACATCTGTGACAGCATTTTGCTCACTATTTACAGATAGGTTTAAAAAAGATTCAGATCAAACCCAACTTGGAAGTCCATTTCAAATAGATTTGGGGAAAAAACCTTCTATTTTTAGGAATGAAGGAATCAAATGATTACAAAACTGCTGCATCCCCACCACCTGCACACTTGGGTAGTGGAGCAACATTCTAGTCCAGCACTCTCACAAACTGGCGCAGTATCTACTCCAGGGAAGGAATGAGACGAGCTTCCCTTGTTATCTCCCCATACTATGCTTTAACCATGTTCTGAAATAATTTAAGTAAAAATTAGTATTATACACTCCATCCTTGGACTTTTCAAAGCCAACACAATGCCAGTTGCAGTTTTGGCTTCAGAAACTGATTCTCACCAAGGAAGAGGCCGGACTCTAATCTCCTTTCACACGCCAGCCAGAGACAGCGTGGCACTAACAAGGAGACTCGAGGTCAAACCCACAGCTCTCAGGGGACAGCAGATTTCTGGGCAGATTACAACCACTTCAGTCACGTCTGGCATTCTAACTTTACAGACAGAAGTTTTAAATTTAGCGTCTTCTACACTAGTATTTTCTATTGACGTTTTCTTGCTTTCGCCAGCATGGCGTTAGGTACGTGCTACATTTTACCAGGAGCTTTGAAAGCAATGCTCTAAATTGCCTCTGGCTGCTGAGGATGCAGCATAAGACTCGAGACACCAGAGAGCCCCTGTTGTGAACAGCCTGCACGGTGCGGCCACCGCGACGGAGCAATGCAGTTCATACTCACAGCAGCACGGCTGCCGAGAGATGGAACAGACCTTTTTAAAAACATAGTGGTCTCAAAGATAACTTTATAACTTGGGTCACGTAGGAAATTGAAGTAGATAGAAGAAATGAACTTAGCCAATAGGCCAAACTTCTTCCGTCCCCAGAAATGACCCACGTAACTTGAAGTACACAAAGGAAAAAATTGCCACTGTGGTTCTATTCTTCAACAGCCATTTTTCAGAATAAAGTTCCTCTTCCACAACCAAATTCTGGCTCAGTAACACTGGTGTTGAGATAAGGATAACTTTTCTCAGTTTTCTCTTAATATCACTGGATGCAGTAGCTGACTTAAAAGCATAACCAGAGATATAGTACTGGGTGACAAAGTGACAAAAGAACGGTAAGAAAAATCCTACCTTGCACATGCCATAATCTGTTAATTTGATATGACCCTCTGCATCTAAAAGAACATTGTCTAGTTTTAAATCTCTGTAGATTATGCCTCTTTCATGTAGGAAGTTTAGAGCAATACAAATTTCAGCAGCATAAAACCTGCAATTAAAAAGGAGAAAATTCATATTAGCTTTAAGATCGTACAAGTGCTAGTGCAAATAAAAATATCTGTTCTTAAAATATCGCTTTACAGTCAGCTTTTCTCTATCTACTGAGTACCAAAAAGCAACTACACTTATGGATAAGGACACTGATCTCATACCCATGAAACCATTCCTTAAATTAGATACAGGAAATTATTTTTTCATTCTACTAATTAGGAAAATATTTGTTCTTTATCCTACAGATTTTTTATGAAAATTCCAAGTATGACACAGAAGATCTGTATTTTCAGCTTATTAAGAGTTACAATGAAACTTTACATACTGCAAAGTTATACAAAATAGATTTTTCATCTTCTCCAACCAACACAGTATTAATTCAATGTAAGACCTAAGTAAGTGGAATAGTTATATCTTCCATCAACAGATCAAGGAAGCATTACTTAAATATGAAGCAATAGACAAGTAAAGAGGAATAACTAACTACTTATGAAATGCTTGCTGTCTTTAAAAAATATATATATTCTTCAATAAATGAAAGTTAAGATTTCTTCCCAGGGCAGTACATTCTAAATTTAAGAATCAACCTTTCATTCTTTCTTTGCTGTTCATATTCTTTTATGGCATTAAGTTCAGAAAGCATTTGATACAACACTGAACAACTACATTGCAAAAACCCCACTGTAACTGTGTCGGTAAAATACCTTGCATGTTCTTCAGGAAGTTTTCTTTGCCGTTGCATATGAAACATAAGATCTCCCCCATTTACATACTCTATGACAAGAAACAATCTGAAAGTATATAATACAATTAATGGATTCCAAGGAAACTCTCAAGAAACAAAACTATTCTCATCCTTCCAATTTCAGCCATTTTCTTTTCCAGTCTTGAATTAGACTTCTAGATTTCTTATTGTCACAGAAACTATTTAAGAGAAAAAAAGAGAGCACTTATTTGATCCATATGATGTAGGATCACATCCTTTATTTAAATGACAGACTAAACATAAAGGAGAGCCAGCTGCATACAACAGGCTACTATTTGGTGTCAAACCTGCAGAACTATTTAAACAGTACAGAAGACAACAGCATTTGCCTAAGCTAATGAGGTAAAAAAACCCATAGCATCCAATGATGTACAGACTTTTAAAAAAGTTACTTGGAAATAAAAGCAAAACCACGAAATAAGCTAGAAGATGGCATATGACAACAATGAAAGTTTATCTAAAAGAGGTAAAGTTGTTACTCATTTGCAAAACGACATAACAATTAGTTACATGACTGCCTCTTATTCAGTGATGTTGACTCTTTTGACTTTCATGGAAGAAGATTCCAGAGTATAAGATCTGCCCAGGCAGCGCACTGCTTTGAGTAACAACACCCAGTTGACTAAACAGAAAAAAGCCTGCCTGAAACAATGCTATTTAAAATAAAGGTATAAAGACTAAAAAATGCTTCAAAAGATGCATCGAGTTAAATTCAAACCTTTCTTGTTTAAAGGGTAATCAATCAGTAATCAGACACAGGTTTCCTTGATGTAATAATTATTAAATTAGTCTGCTTGACTAAACATTGTTGTTTAATAGCAAAGCTGTAGCATCAAATCCACACAGCTCTGTACACAACCCGTAGTTTATAAACACTTAACATTCTGCATGAAAAAATGTGAAATTTCTAGTTTGTATTTTTGATACAGTTTTGCCATTACAAGATCACCATCTTTTAAAAATTACTTCCTCATTAACAATAATTAATGAGTATCTGACAATATTACACAGATCAATGTTTTGTAGGATTTGCGATTGCAATTAGATCTATAACTACAAAGCTGCTCTTTGTGACGGTTCAGTTCCTGAAACGCTCAAAAAGATCTAGTGAAAGCAAGATGACATAAGGCTCACTTCGAGGTATGTAACCGAAATTTACTTTCAAAAAAAAAGTTTTATCTGAATAGCATGACAATAATATTTTTCCAATTAAAGTTACATGATCTAATATTAACAGAAATAATTTTGTGTGTATTGAACCCTATGATGATCACTGAACTCTTCCTGATACACTGCTAAGAAACACACTGTCATTCCTAGAAGAAAAAAAAATGTTCTGTTTCATTTGTATAAAGAGACTGAGACTACGCAAGAATTTGAGGACTGAGAAACTCAATTCACATATGTCCATTATTTATCAGAGGTGAAAACTAAACTTGGTGAGCTAGCAGGACAGATGATGAAATCCCACTCTCCCTTCACTTTGCCAAGACCTTTGTCTGTAGAAAAATGTGCATTAAAAGGAAGTGTGGTGGACCCACTTCTGTCACTCTCGACATAGCGTATTCACTACATGGAGGATCTGGGCACTGAAAGGCACCGAGGCTCACTAGCTCCTCTGTGGAACAAGTTTTTGAAACAACCAAGGGAGAAGTCAGTAGGGGAAGAAATACAGGTGGAATCAGCCATATAGAGAGACTTCTATCAGTCTGTAGGAAAGGTTTCATCCTTGGGAAAATAAGATCCCGGCAACGCTGCCAAGGGCAGAGAGACCTACGGGATCGAAACATGCTGAGTGGGAGTTTCTTACGAAGGTTGCGGCTGTCCCAGGAGGCACTACTTCTTTACACACCTAATTTTCCATGAGTTGAAAACTCCTTTCCATACATTCACACACTGGAAGGCATTCCATTTGGAAAACACATGCTACAGTCCCTCAAACCGTTCTAATCAGTAACAATTAAAGATTTTTTTCCCCCTTTGAAAAGGATTCTGTATTTTCAAAACTCAAGGTAAAAACTTAAAAGGTGAAGCAGGAAAAATTATTGGACACAACCCAGCCTGCAAGTCTTTCAGTGGCCTCCCCACAAGAATATAAACACTAAAACCCTAAACTAAAATTAAATAAATAAAATAGGTAACAATGCCATGAGTATTTTATTACAGCATGCCTGATATTTTTTGTGTCCAACTTTCCTATCCTATTCAGGAGCTTCCAACGCTTTATCACCGTTCAGAACCTGCAGTTAGAAGTTGCTTATGTCAAGTCACATTCAAGCACATGAGTGTGTGAATACTGGTAGCCCTTGCTGGGTAGCAGAAGGATTTACTCAAACACCAACGGTTTTGCAGGATGGAGGTGTCTGGATTATTGTTGGAAGATACCCATCTGGCAATTCTGGGCAAGCCCAAGGCATACATTTTATTATGATAATAAAGCAAGCATCACTAGTATCTGAAACAATGTAAACAGCTACATTTAACATCAATTAGCATCTCTTAAGTACACACTACTTTTATCATAAAAATTTATTTAAAATTCTATTTAAGAGAAAGAGCATGTCCTTTGGAACTTTCCCCCCCTGTTAGTACACTCATACACAAAATGTTCTCATATTACAACTTGTTTTCTTTGGGCCAGTTAACAAAATCTGATGTTGATGAATTTATCCACATCAAGTCAGTTTTGTGCTTCTCTTTGTTCCTGTGATGAGGTTATAATTGTGTGGTTTGTGATAGCTACAGTCACAGCTACAATCAAACTGTGAATTCATGACATTATACCTTTATCCACGGCGAGTGGCTGAAGCTATAACCATAAAACTATAGTTTCCCTGCAAGGAGAAGCTAGGCTGGAAAAACAGGACTCCTCAAAATACAACAGGAACACAGAAAGCTTTGACAGTGTTCAGCATAGATTTTCTATTTCTGCTCCTCAACTATGTCAACATAACTACCAAAGTGGCACGCAAAGGACCCTTCTGTTGTTGAATTCAGCCTTTTCCTTGTTTCCAGTATTTGGAAGAAAGCTCATTCTCAAAACTTTACCGTGCCTGACTACTTGAATTTTTATGTTCGACGTTCAATGCTACTTAGTATTTGGTGAGAACGTGTTGGTGAACATCAGTTTAACCTAAAGGGCCTTTCACAACAGTTTGTTAGTTGTTTAAAGATTACGGGGTTTTGTCTGGCAGACAAATTTCTTTTGGTCAAATCCTCAGTCACCTTTGGAGATCGTTCCTTCTCCCTGCTCCGGAATACTCCCAGTCCATGCACCTTCAGAATGATCTTCATACAGCTTCTTTACTTCCTTTATCTCAGCTATGTTTTTCCTGCTAGGAAAATGCTATTTCCTATGACCATAACCATTAAAGGGTTGCAAGTTTGGGGACTGAAGAAATAGCATAGCGCATGCCTTCATGTTTTAAAAATTGATAATACCCATTGTAATGAACAAGTGATTGTTCTTAAGGATATGATATTCTTAATGACTAGATAACGCATGGAAACATCTTAAAACTGTTTGCACTCTACACTGCATGCCATCCAAGCAAGCCGGAGCCGGATAGAATGACTTATCTTCTGATTACCATACACACGGCTCTAGGCATTATAAGAGTCTAACAGTAAACGGGTGCCTGTGAAAACAAAACACAGAAAACCCTGCCCCAACAAACCACAAAACCCCCACACATCCAAACTCCCCAGTGGCATAAGCATGGGTATGTATAAAAGTTCTCCTTGATTTTCTTCATATTCCAATTGCAAAATAAGAAGCAAATAATTCGCTTTGGATTATGCACACAAGGACAAAACCCTATTATTTTGAAGTAGCCAAGAGTTTATTAAGCACTTTTTCAAATGAAATCACCTACATCATCAATGTGTGCTAAGAGCTCGTAAGCCTCATATAGGTAAAAAATACTTCATACACATGTAGGTTTCTAAGTTACCATAAAAGCTATTATCACTGAGCAGCTCAACTCTCATGCTATTTTGAAGAAGAGAGAACTACAGTTTGGCCCTCTGAGAACCGATTCGGCCCTCCTCAGCAGAATCAGGTATTATAAACTATCTCTTATAAAGCTCTCTTTTACCCTCCTACCATCCTCCCATTCCTGAAGCCACACGGTCTGTGCTCAGGAAGACCGCACAGCTCCTCTTCGTTCTCAGTCGTCTCCCTGCAGCTCGGGACCTAGAAACCCCTGCCGCCTCCTCCACACCACGCTGGCTAGGCTGCCCCGCTAGACCTGCCCTCGCCGCGGCGGTGAACCCCCGACCATGCTATCGCTTCCTTCCAAAAACTACTGACTGTGTGATGGCAGTGGTTATGTTTGCTTTATGAGAAGCAGTTAGTACAACGATCAAGATTTTCAAAACAAAATAATTTCAGATCTTTCTTACCGACTTGTTGTTTGAAAGCATGAATGTAAACCAACTAGGAATGGGTTACTGGATGCCTGTTCAAACACATGTTTCTCTGTCTGTACCCAATCAATATCCTGAAATAGAGTAATTGAACAATCAGAACTCCTGCTGCATAACCACTGTGGGTATTCCCAGAAAAGAAATTGCGAACATCTATGCTCCCTTACATATACCGTCATTGTTACATATGTTCTTCAGAAAGATAAAACCCCCTAAAATCTGGAGGAAGTTATAAAACATTTTCATTCAATTACATATTCAGAAGTTTAACCATTTAGAAAGGTGTGCACAAAATTTAAGCCATTTTAAAATACCATACATCTGCAATATTAGATACACTGCTCATACTGCTTCATAGAAATAAATTCAATAATCTTAAATAAATGATCCTAAGGCTGCTGAAGCAACCCATGCCAGTAACACAAGCAATGTGAATCTCCAGTTTTTAAAAGGTTCAAATAACCTGAACTTCATTTTCTCACCTGAAACTCAAAATGAATTCAATGAATCTACTGAAATCTGATTAGTTTGTCCAACTAAAATCATTCTAAGAAGTATCACAACTTCCGCAGGGAGAAGTCCTGAAATACCCAGTGCAATACCATATAATAAAAATCTATCAAAATTTGAATACTGGCATAGTACTGCAAAATTCAGATCCATAATAACAAAGCATTTAATCGTTTTTCATGTAGCCATACAAAATTTAAACCTCACAGACAACAGGCTTTAGCAGTAGATATTTACTCTTCATGCAATACACCGATCACGTTCCACCCTGCAAACACTCAGTACCCTGCCCACAAACTAGAAATACAGCTGTTCTAAAAATTCTCCCTTTCTAACAGACACTTCCAGCTTTCCGACCGGTCTGGAGACACTAGAGAGATGCTGAAAAAACAGGTCTTCCTGTCAAGGATAGTTAGTGAAACAGAAGTCTCCAAGGAGATCAAGAAGTGTCCCCATTAAAATAAATAAATCTGTTAGGCGTTCAGACACTCCTGAAAATACACCACCTTGGAAGGGTACACCTGGGTCCAAACATGAGCCAAAAATCCAATTTTGAATAAAACAATAAACATGTCCACTGCCTTTTGCTTTTACCAAATAAGCTTTTCTTTAAGAGTCTTTAAACTAACCCCTTCATTAGCGCACTTGTGTACCAGCACGTCAGCATTATACCAGTGCACTACTGTTCACAAGATTAAACTTAGAGAACAGTACTAGCAGAAGCCCAGGTATTTGATTTGCTTCAATCTCATTTAGAAAAGAATCTTTACTTCTCTCCCATATCAACCATTACCAGGAAAGCACTAACCAATTTAAACATGGAAAGTTAATTACATAGCAAGTATCACTTTCTCCATGAAACACTTGCTAGGTGAAATTTCCATTACTCGCAATATCTCATGCATTCACAGAATTGAGTGAATTTCCTATCAATTCCCAGATTTTCACTGTCCAGCCTATCTTACAGAAAAGAAAAACCAATTAGCTCAATCTTCTATGTAATTATCCATGAGAGCCACCATTCAAGATGGACTTTTCTCATTACCTCTGACTCTCAGGAACAACTGCATCACTCATTAAATAATACCCTTCTTTAGCTTCTACCTTCTTGGAAAAACACATGTTTAAAGGCAACACTAAATAAACCACACACCAGCCTGATCTTTGGTCATAAAAAGGAACATCAAATAAATGAGCAAGCCAAAGCAGTTTAGAAGAACTTTACAACATCCGTCTCCCAACCCTAACCTCCGCAATAACACCAAGAACGGCAGCCAGAGAAACTGAAACTACCAACACAAATAGCACTTAAAACAATGTGTTTTTGTTTCCCCCCCAACATCCTACTTTCAAGAAATCCAGTCTTCCTAGTAGGATAAAATTAAGGTAACATCATCAGCTTTAAAATTGCATTCTACCTGAAAAATTCACTTTCTGCTGTAAGAACAGCTATGTAAGAAATTCCCTATGAGGTGAGACTGATTGTCCACCTCTTTATTGTATTTTAGAGCTTGGGATTCCACCCACGAGGGTGACACAGTACTTCTTTACTTTTCAAATATTTAATGGTGTCATACTCTACGCACCCCGTCATACACACCGCCACTCCCGCGGGAGCGTGTCACGCTGCAGCGTTCCAATCAAGCCTGACACCACTTGTTATCGTTCCATCAGGTCTCACCACTGATTTATCGGGGCCGTGGCCTGACCAGACACATTCCAGTTACCCCACCCCCTCTTCCATTACTTAACGTGGCAGGTTCTACTCCGATGGCACTGTAGGTGGCTCAAGCCTGCCTTCCTTGCTTGCTGGGATTGCTTCATCACATTTACAAAAAAACCAGAATGGATATAAAAAAATCTAATATTCATATTTGTTGGAAGGCATATAGGAAAAAAATGAAGGGTTGGGTTGGTTTTCTTTTTTTTTTACCCTCCTAAACTTGTGCACTTGAAATCCTGTATTAAAAGAATTTCAACAGGATTGGTAGTAGCAACAGGTTGGTTTTTTTTTTAAAAAGTGGCAGTAGCACAGGGTTTTTTTTAAACCCATGGAAAAAAAATTCCAGAGTACTGTGTCACTTGCACATAAACTCTATAATCGTGACTCTAAGAACAGAGTTTCAGCTCCTGTTCTGAAATACAGACAATACTTGGCAGCTATATTCATTTGCCTTGGAAGACACCTTTGTTTTCTTTCAAAATTAAGTGCCCAAATTCCACCCTATTTATCTCACTTACAGGTTAGCACATCCAGGTTGGAATAGTTTTCATGTGCATTCTACTAAGACTATTAGTAATTGTTAATTGTTATTAAAATAAGGGACATTTCTCTCAGATTTAATCTTGATACTTCACACAGTTGATTACAAATAAGTTCAAAAGTCAGTACAACTTCTATTACAGAATGTTGTCTAAAGCCTTAGCTGCTTTCTTAGTTGTATAGTTTGTTAAAGCATACTAAATTTTTACAATATGTAACAGAATGCAATTAACACAGACTTTTACCTCATCGTCATGGACCAATTCTTTTTTCACTACCTTCATAGCATAAATTTGATCATTCTTTTTTAACCGAACTAAAAGAACTTTGGCATAACTTCCACGTCCGATAACTCTGATTAAATCAAAGTCCTGTAGTCCAAGCCCCTGAGAAATCTTAATTCCATCCATTCCATCAATGACTGGTTTGATATCCTGTATAAAAAGAAACAGACGCTAGAAACAGACAACATTTTCATGACAAGTAACTAGAAAAGCAAAGAGGTCTTTAACCACTGGACAGAACTGGCTGAGTTTGCTTGCCACTGCCACACAGATCTCTATGGCTGATTATAAAACATCTGTTCAGGAAAGTTTGGTTGGTACTGGTTTTGCTCTTACTAAAAGTTACTGTGTTTTTCAAGGCAGTAGTTTCTTCAACGATTCATTTAAATATTCCCTACCAGAAAACAGAAGGCAATGCCTTGACAAGTAAGGTTTTATTCAACTTCTTGAACCACAGGCCATCTAGAATTATCCTTTGCATCTTTCATATTCTGACAGATATTGTAGTACAAATTAATAAAGGCTACCTAAAAAAATAAAGATAAAGAAAGAATAACTTGCTAATGTATATACCTGTCTTGGTTTCAGTTTAGGCAAGAGCTGCCTGTATCAAGTTCACTACAGTTTTAATGAAAATTAAGATTTCTAATCGGTGCCTGGGAACACACAGAAGCAGACACCAATTTTTCAATTGTGAGAATTTGCAGGAAATATTCCACCGTGAAAAATGTTGTTTTAAAATTCATTACTTAAAGACAAAGTTTATCTTGACTGTTTGCTGGGATTAGATGGGAACTTGTGAGACTGAAGATCAAGCAGCTGAACGAGACAAATGCAGCATGTACTTTGACATTTCATTTTTACCAATACATACAATGCTTTGACATGCTTCTGTGGCCTATTTTTATCTGACCTCATACTACTATACTTGTAGACAGATCAGCATTCTGCTGAACTATGGAAAGTATTTATATAAAGAATCTTGATCTAGGATTGACTGCTATTAGAAGAGATTGCTCTGAGCTTAAAGACTGTAGTCAACAAAGCTCCCAGAATGCCACTTACTCTCTACAGGATACCTTAAATTATTTTAGTAAAGCTCAAAAGCAAGGTGGAAAAAATCAGAGCAGCAAAATTCAGGACAGTTGAGCAAACATCACCTATCAAAACTTAAACACAAGCAGCATCTACCTGAGTACTAACCACAGCAGAAGTCAGCAATTCCAGATAGCAATTAAAATTCTCTGATGTATTTTAAATTTATAACCTTCCACCTCTGAATTTGAGATAAAAATCTAAAGACACGTGACTAAAATAAGGCAGTCACTTACCCAAGAACAGGAACTACTCAATCATGAAATAATGGTAGTGACAAGTATTGTAGTGGAGGTAGAGGAAAAAAAGGTGCAGGCTTGTTAAAAGCAGGATATCAAACTGCCTGCTAGTGGATGCAGAGCGCAGCCTATTTATTAAATATGCCAGAAGCATTTTCAAAAGAAATGTCCTGAAGCCCTTTAGAATTAAAGCGTATTGGGATTTTTTCAAACTGCTTTAAGGGAATAACGTTCTTGGCATGCAGAGACTGGGTCAGACCGTCTACTACAAAAGAGTTGACAAACAGAGTTTAAGTGCACGTTATTCTGCTTGTATTTCCACAGGAGCTGTCTATAGATTATTAGGTATTATTTATATGAAACATCTCAGAGAGCTGGATAGTTAATGTATTATCAGAGCCAACCAACTTTTAGAATGATAGCCTGTAGAGGTAGCCTGAGGGCGATAAGGGGTGTACATCCATTAGAGAGAGCAGACAAGATAATGTCAAAGCCACCATTTGTTGCAAGGACCAATAAAGTCAAACCTTCTGCTAAATCACTCTTATTCCAACAGGAATGGAAGGGAGAAAGAAGAAAGTCTGTCTCACATCATGATTGGGATAACAAGAGCTATAGACAGAAGAAATCTGAGAAATCCAACAAAAATACTTGAAAAAATTACCAATTTTCAGAAAGAAAACCCAGACTCTTTTTTAAAAGGTAGCAGAAAAGAATAGGACAAATAACTAGCTATTTTACAAAAAGTCACATGATTGTGTGTAAATGTGAATGACAAATATACTTGTATAACATACCTCAGAGTCATCTTTAATGGTGTCATGTTTCCGGTTTGAAGGAATGTAGGGAACTGGAAGAGAAATCAACCAAGCAGTGTGGTTAACAAGGCCTTCATTAGAAATAATTTTAAGAATCAATAAATGAGAAAATGATTTAGTAACTTAGGGTCAGCAGTTTGCTTTAAATACTACGGGACAGTTGATCAAGTTTTTCCACTTAATTCTTGCAATCATGACAGCAGATCCTAAAGGCACTGCAGAAACAACCGACTCTGAGACAGTAAGAAATTCATCAGTGAACCTTTGAGCTCAGAAGAGCACCTGACAAAGGCCAGAGTCGTTTTGGACAACTGGTATGGACAAATGGGCCCTTCAAACAAGACAGGTAAAACCATCAAAAATATCAGCCTAGTAAGAGTACTCCAAATCGCACAAAATTAAGAAACACCTAAAGTCTGAGGGTGCACTTGTATTAGCATCACGGTTTGGATCTGAAATGCAGAGGTTTTGTTTGTTTTAAAAAGTAAATCTATTATTGCCAATTGCTCTGTGCTTCACTTCAGTCTGGAATGGTTTCAGAGGATATGAATTTAGGAGGAAACCGAACCAGATGCTCTGCTTCAGAAGTACATTTACTATAACCGAATCCCTAATGAACATTTAGTACATGGGACTAAGGTAGAGCTTATCCAAAGTAAGCTTTAAAAAACCTAAACTGGTAGAGTGTAAACTGGGCCTCTAAATGGGGAAACACATGAATTCCAACTTCACAAGAGAGTACTCACTTCCATCAGTTTCTTCTGAAGGGAGGTCAACTTCATCATTTTTATCATCTAACTGAGGTTCCTGGGAAGGCATGACCGAATCCTTGCAAAATACAGAAGTTATACAGGGAAAAAAAATGTCGGTTTATGCAGTACCTTTTAAGTATGTCTTGCCATGTAACAGCAATACAATGAGAACCTTACATTTGTATCTTCCAGAACGAAAACTGGATTTTGTAGAAAGTGTTTCCAAATATTAACATTTTATAATGCATTATAAAACCAGCCTACCAAAAGCTTAAATGCTACGTCAACCGTTCTCTGCAGCTACAACAGATGTTTAGCTGTCTTCTAAAACTAACATTACTATGTTTTATTGCAAAGTTCAAACTCTAATTCTATATAAGACTTCTAAGTCTGTTCCACATGGAACTGCAACAAAGCAAACACTTCAGCATGATGTTACACACTCAATTTAGAGCACTGGCATATTCCTTTCCTATTTAAAAAACATGAATTGTTTCTCATCAGGCACGGGTACTGCATAAATTGGTCAAGATTAAAATACCAAATAGTTTTGTAGTACATTTGGACCCTGGTCTCATTCACAACTCATAATCATAGAATCACATGATTATGAGTTGTGAATAATAAGATAATGAGACACGCAGGACTATTCCAGCAGGTACGGCAACATGCATAAGTAAATTGGCAAAGAATCTAGTAACGTCAAGGCAAGTCACATGCAATACCAATAGAGAAAAATACTGGTTTGCATTAGAGACAACAAGATGCAACAGCCAGCGAGATGCTGGCTATAGTCTGTGATGGGAAAATTCAAGGATACAGATTAATGTTTAAAGCCCTGGAAAGACACTAGAGCTGCCACTGGAACACAGGAGGGGAAGAGAGGATGAGAACAGTACTAGAGAAACTGAGATGGCAAGAACATGAAAGCAACAAGCCTTTTTGCAAGCGGTAGCGCAAAAACTGCCCTAGTGCCTTAGTTCTTTAAACATTCCCATGGGGTAAAAGGAACAAACGCTAAGATTGTCAATGACAACTCTATCTACCTGTAAAATACAGTAGGTCTACTGGAGAATGCAAACTCAACCTGCTCACACCTAAGTCATATCACAGGTTTTCTTTTCTCGCTTTGTCTCTACTGTTCACAATCCAAAGGCTTGGCCTCCACAGACATTTAAGAAACTGAAAGCCAAATACCACCAAGTATTATAAATCTACAGCCACGCACAGCATTTAATTTCCTCAGATGCACGTCTAGAAACAGCAACGCGGGACACAATGAAACATCTTAGCTTTACACAGAATGCAAACTTACCATATGCCTTTTGCAGGTCAGTGGAACAAGTATATGACAACGTTTATGGACCAACAACTTGCAGTTGATACACTTGTAGCCTTGCCTTCCGAGCCCCCATATCCTTTCACTGCACTGGCCACAATACGCTCTCTAAAAGCCAGAATACATATTATCAATTCAATTATCAATTCCCTTCGGTAGGTGAGTAGTTATCTAGCAGCAAGAATCCACTCTACCAGAAACCATCCTTGTCATCTCCTGAGATGCGTTGAATAATAATTCTTTTAGAATATCCAGGGTTTCCCCAAGAACTGAAGGTTACACTTCACACTCAGAATTCGGCTAAATGCAGTCTTTTTAATGAATGTTAAGAAAACAAATGTCTCGGGCATATGGAACACATTACAGCCTGACATTAGCAAATCATTCCTAGAGAATAAGTACATTCTGAATTTCAGGTTCTGACAGAGGTTACCCAAGCAAAAGCACAGGAATTTGTACTACACAATTACGCATAAGAAGTACCCAAACTGATGGCTTTGGAGAAGATTGGCACGAAATGATACAACAGACAAGTTCAAGTACAAAGAGTGTTCTGTATCTGCACCTATATACTTTAACAGTGGTAGAACATCAGTAGAAACTTTCCATAATAAAAACTCATCTACAAAGTCTGAGGTAAAGCCTCTGTATGTTGCGCTATTTAATATCAAATATATATGGCCCTTTTATACATGCAACAACATGGCATCCGAAGCAATTAAACCACAATGAGAACAAATTCAGAAGCCAGACATCCCACTGCTGACTTTAACAGGGCAGGTCTTGAAATAATTTTTCCAGTGTGTGCACGCTGTGGTCATTTTATCCACTCTACCCCAAGTGCCAAACAGCAGTCTGAGATTCTTACGTGCCAAAAACTCACCCAGTCCCGGTTATCCCTCTACAAAGCGTGCAGGTTGTCAACCGAAAACTTACTCATTATTCCCTATCGGCAAATTTTCTCCAGCAATTACTGCACCCTGCAAAGACGCTGCCTGCCGTTCCGCAAGCAGCACATGAAGTCCTGCACTCATCCCCCATTCCAGGCGCAGACAGAACTCTGCAACTGTCCCAAAGCCACGAAACAGTGGAAGTCTGTTCCACCCAGCAAACGGCAAGTTAGAGTGCGGTTATTCAGATCCTCAGACTAATGAATCACACACGGTGTCCTGCCCAAAAGCAGTAAGCTACTATAAATCCTTACTCATAATATTAGGGAAAAAAAGGTCAAAAAATGGATCATTTCGAAAAATATTTTCTATATTGCCCTTCTTATATTTTGATAGTTGTAGAAAACAAAACTTAACTACATCCCATTCACCCATGCAGTCAGTCCTCCTCGATCAGGAGAAACACGAACCGCATTGCCCAGGAGAAAACAAACCCAAAACAACACACCACAAAAAGCATACTGCCTAATAAGAAAGGAAGGCTTGGACATCTATAGCCACTTCTTTCAAAATTCCTGGTCCGTCAGACTTCCTTTAGTATGCTTGTGCAGGTTTGGCAGCAGTAATATTAAGACTAAATAAAATGTCTTAGGCCCTGGAAATGACATACAACAAAATAATCTCATTTACTTCAGTCAGATGCAGGGAAGCAATGGGGTGGGGGGGGGGAATAAATATAGGGGCAGCTCCCCAATTCCTTCAGCAATCCAGGTTTCTCTCTCGCACCTCTCCACAACAC